TAAAGTGTTGGTGAAACGCTCCAAGAAGTTACTCTCGAGTAAACATGATTTACTCCAGAGTAAACCCTTACTCTTTGTTTGGTGAAACCGAATAAAGGAACATTATGGACTGGACATACTGGAATAAAGGAACATTATGTACACACCTTTCTGATTCTTTGCCAATTGCATGTGGAGTCCCGCAGGGATAGATTTTAGGCACTATTCACTTCCTACTATATGTAAACATATGAGCTCGAAGGTTAAAAACGGAAGAATAGTTCTCTTTGCGGATGATGCGAATATTCTTTGCAATAAAGAAACCGTAAATAGTTCAATATCAGATATTTCAAATTGGTTCCGTAGTAACAAAATCATAGTAAATGAAAAGAAAAATGTTTCAATGCAGTTTTCTGTTTCAAATAACTAGCCGTATACTTCATTGAAAATGAATGGTGTGCCATTGACTGATGGTAAGGTAACAACATTTTTAGGTCTCTCAATTCAATTCAAACCTTAAATGGAACGTCCATTTAAATGAGTTGAACACTAAATTAAGTTCTTTATGCTACACTTTCAGAATTCTTTCAAATTCAGTCAGCCTCCATACTGCTCATTGTGTATATTTCGCGAATGTGCATTTCCGCCTGAGGTATGGCATTACATTCTGGGAAAATACATCTTATAGCTCCCAGACGTTTAGATTACAAAAAAGAATTGAACTAATACAAAGCAAATCCTATGCTTGTGATTCTTGGAAGCCTCACTTTATCAATATAGGTATCTTACCATTACCTTGTCTCTTTAAATATGAATTAGTGTTTTTTTGTTAATAATGACTTAAGGGGGGGGGGGGAATGTATTTTCAGCAAACACTGATGTCTATAACTCCAACACTCGATACTGTAATCATATTCATCAGGTGACAGTATCTACAGCTCACTACAAAAAATTTGCATACAATACGTGTACATTATTTTACAACACCTTATCTGATGACATTAGATGATTAAATTCGATTCAAAAGTTTAAGTCCCAAGTAAAATCTGTACAGCTGTTTCTATACAATTCTATAAGTCATCTATACCGAGCATCCAAAAGGAAAGTAATGTAACTTTTAACGACATGTAGTGTATTATTTACCCTTTAGATTGTATCATTCTAAAGAACCTTAACAAGTATTGCACTTCAGCTTCTGGATCAATGACCCCCATCTCGATCAAGTTTTCGTCCAGTTTCCCTGATCTTGGGCAAATGCTGAGATGGCCCCTTGTTTTGCTTTTGGACATAAATGTAATGTCAAATTAACTTCTCCCCATAGCATGTCACTCACAGTTTTTAACTTGCTATTCATCCATCATTTATTTATTTATGCCAATCAGTTTTGTACATTTAGAATCATTTGCTTTTTTGATCAAAATTCTTGTGAAATGTAACTTTGGATTTTTTAAGAAAAGGAAAGATGTTACTCCCAAATAATATAGATATATTTATAAAATTTCATCAAAGAGTCCAGCTAAGTACAACCACGAGTTCCTGAGGTTATGAATACTTTAATTTCATAGAATTGGACTTTCCTGAACAACTTTGTGAAATAACACAATTGAATCAGTTATTTTAGAAATCTCACAAGTCCAAAAACCCAACTTTCCAAGAGATAAAAGAAAACTGTTTGTAGAGTATTTGAACAAGAAGAGAAGTTGTTTAAATATAGTTCGAAGAAGAAAGGGTTTAAAAAGAAAGTGCACTGAAAAGTATATTTATTTATTGATTGAAGAATCATGATATTATATTATAAATATTTGGACATACATCCTTTCTATACTGAATTAGGTATACCAAATAATAATTAACCTAATTTTTGGTTGATCCAAAGAACAAAAAGAGAAATTATTTTAACATAGTTCAAAGAAGAAAGGGTTTAAAAAACAAGTGCACTGAAAAGTATATTTATTTATTGAAGAATCATGATATTATTATAGTATAAATATTTAGACATACATCCAGATATCACAAAGTATATCCGACCTTTTTTCACATTGTTGTGTTTCAATAACCAATATCCAGCCATCTTTTCAGTCCTCTTTGTCATCTGCAATCGAAAGCTGAAAAATTCCCTCATTCAACTCAGTGGGTTCTGGAAGAATTAAACACATCAAACAACGAATGTCTTGCATTTTCTTATTTGAAACTGGTCCCACCATCATCAGCTGTTTCAAAAGAAAAATTAACCATGTTCACTTACACCTCCTATGTAATCACATACAAAAAATGATCGGCTCTATTGCTACAACACTCATACTCATATATAAGTTCTGTGGTTTACAATGACTTTGTCGATTTTAGTACGTGTCTGTTTGCCTAAAGATACCTTGTTGATATGACATTCTAAAGATACTTCTTTGATAATACTTCACCCACCATCAAAGGTAAGAATTTTATCTGTGAAAACAAGTTTTACAATAAATCTATTCTTTTTAGCTGATTGCACTATATTCTCTACATGTTCTTTAACTGTGTATTTCTCATTGTAACTGTCAATTCTTTGCAGCACTCGTTTGAAAAGTCCAAAATTTCTGTTAAAAACATTGTAAGAATGCCTTAATGGGAAGTAACACCTCACGTTCTCAAATCTCCCACTATCTGCTAGGGCCTAGCAGAAATGGATCATTGTATGATTTTTATTATGTCTATTGAAAAACTGTCTGGGATATTTCACTTCAGGAGGTACCTACATGATGTTTGATATAATCATAAATGACAGAACATGCTTTATTTGCTCCTTTACGTGCAGTTCCTTTGTTGTAGATGTAGGACAATCTTAGGTAGGCTCAGGATAAGTCTATAAGAAGGCACTAGGGAAGGACTAGCCTACATAACAACCAGTGTATAGCATTAAAATAAGTCATAAGATGTATTTGTTTTCATATTGTTCTACAAAATACATACACCCACTGTTGTTGCATGATGTAAACATCTTGAAATGGTATTGTGGGGAGTGACAAATCTGAATATATATGTGAACATACATGCGTATCATAACAAAAATGTTCTCCAAATTACTATTTTAGTGCTTCAATTACATTTCTCCATAATGTTTTGATGCATTTATTTACATTGGTTGACCTTAAAGGATGTAACTATAGTGATGTCAACTTGTTCTACATTTTTTGTTGTTTTTCTTGACTACATATTTCATTCTTCAAATATTACCATTTTAGTGCTTCTATAGCTTTCTTACTTTATGCGGTTATGAATAATGTATTTAGTAATCCTTACACATGGTACTATCTGCCGTTTAAATTAATTATTTTATTTTACCCTCACCCTTGCTTGTGACATGAATAGAACACGAATAAAAAGAATTGAAACATTGTTATCCCTTTAAATATGTTTCAACAAAATTTTTAAGGCTGTAAATAAATAGGTTATTATTAAATTAATTCAATTTTAGTTATAATATCACAGATTGTTTAAAACAGTATTATGTTTTCACTAGATTCAAATAAAATTCCCTCACATTGTTGATGTTCATGAGCCTAATTTCTCATTGTAACTGAATCAGTCAACATTCTTAACTATTCCAAGGGCACAGTCAAACTCGCCCAATATAGAATCTCAAGGGACCCGGTTTTCTTTTTTTTTCTTTCTGCAATGTAATACTGCAGAATATATATTTGGCAGGATTGCAATTTATGTTCATATTAGACAGATTACCGTAACATGCAAGGAATTGTGAACTTTTGGACATCTTGTAGACGACTCATAAGGACCTGGCAACAAAACAAAGGAACCATCTAACAGCACAGAAACTTGACCTTACCTGATGAACCACCAAAACTTCAAAATATCTTTGGTGACATTTTTGATTAATTTGATTGTTTTTCCATTCCTATCACTCATGTGGAAGAACCCATCTTTGTAAAACTCTGCCATTATCCATTAATTATTTGTTGAAATAAATTTATTCTTGCTTTCACTTGTTCATATTGTTTCTTTAACCTTCTTTATTATGTATTGCAGGAGCAATGGTTGCTATTTGTGATGTGAATGAATACAGAAAATGTGTTAAAGAATTGAAGGTTCCACTTGTAAATGCTCTATTTGATACATTACATGCATTGTGCAATTTATTGCTTGTAAAACCTGAAAACCTTAAGCAAGTGTGTACTGGTGACCAACTGGTAAGTTTATTCATCACGTGTTTTACATTGTTAAAATTTTTTTTTGATTTTAATGTTGTGATTTCTTCATTTTAGGCTGGCTTGGATCGATCTATTCTTCTTAATTTTATTCAACTACGCAATGATTATAAGACACAAAAACTTGCTAACTGTTTGAAAGGACTTGCTACATAAGGATATAATTTTACAATTTTCCACATTTATTACTTGTGTATTTTAGCTATATATAAATTCAAAAAGAATGTACATAACTCTGAAATTTTCTATGATGTTCATGTAACACTACTTTGAGTACAAACTAATGTCTATTTAGCTCTACAGGTAAACTAATAAAGTATACTTACCTGTATGTTTGTTGAATTATTCTCCAGATTTTCAATGTTAAATGAATGAATAGTAATTTGGAAACTCATCCAATCCTTTGACCTATGTTTCCATGTGCGCAGAATTTGCAAACTGCATATGCATGTCAAAACATAATACATAAGAATTTCAAGTCATTGCATCCTAATGAATGAACATGATGTGTTGATGAAACAATTTCATAGTTCTGAAACTGGATGGTAGCTGAGGGCAAATATACTCACCATAACCCAAAATATCTAAACTGATGCTCTCAGTTATGGAATCTAACATTACATTTAATGTAATGATCTTATATTAACCACCAATATGATACAATAGACATGAAGGGTGGCGCTCCATTTCATTCACCTCGACCATTCTCATGTATTGTTGAGGATTTGATAATTTTTTTATCTAAGTAATGTACTGTAATTCTTAAACTTTTTATGCTATTAATGAGAATTTGTCATGCACTTGTTCATTATAAACAATGATTTATCTTTGTTAACTCAATAATTATGAATCCATTGTAGGTAGTAAAATTTGATTGCGACTGGCACTGTACTTTGATAATGCTCTTGCTCCCTTTGGTAAGTTAAACAGACCCCACTCCAGTATCCACAAACCACCAATTACAGGCAAAATAATTGTTGAATTCCATGAAATAAATTTAGAAAAAAACTAAGTGTACCAAAGGTAATAGCATTTTACTGAGTTCATGAATTATTGAGCTCAACCTAAGTCATAAGCATATTCAGCTTGTGTGGTATTTACTTGCAGTTTACAATGTAAACAATGATTATTTTAGTTCAAAACTTGGATTGCACCTAAAGGACCTGACTATACAAATGATTTTAAATTTAAGACAATATTACTAGTTTTATACATTCTTCTATATGAAGTTTAGTATCACAAAAACTCTATTTTGTGGTTCCTTGATATTCTTATATTTGCTTAGTTTGCCTAGTGACCTAGTACTAGAAAATTTGCTACCAGAACACTTCAAATATTTCAGTGAAATAATGAAATTGCAGTTCAAAGAGACATTCTATACTACTTATACTACCTAACATTTGGATAAGTGGATTCCAAATGTGTTGAAAAAAATATAAGCTTTTATCTGAAAAGGTGGAGGAAAATGATGGCTAAACTTACTTTAACATTTCAACAAAATGAAGCTTAAGAAATGAAGGGGATACACTGGAAGATTTTTATTAAAACATTGTACATTTTTCAAGGCTATGTAGGGTCACAAGCAATTCTTTATTAACGTCTGAAAGAGACTGCTGAAGGAGAGAACAAAATAAAGTTGGAAGAAAACAAAACAAAAAAAAACCAGAGGGGCACTGAAGACAGGTTGAAAAATTTTGTTCTAAGAAATGAGGTTAGCAGCGCAAAGTGGTTTTAACCCACATTGTTCACAATTTGAGTTCATTGCTTTAATTATCTTCATTGTTTTGGAGAGCAATTGTTATCTTCTCATCTTAATGAGTAAACATTGTTTACTTACTGCCATGTCTTGAATATTTATATCCAAAAATGTTACTTTTACAAGTTTATCACATTGTTAACTCAAAATAGACAAATACAATCATGTATATTGGATGTAAAAGAATATGAAGATGGCCCTACAATCATAAAATAATGCTTGCTATGGCTTTTTATTTCTCCATGCAATAATAGCCTAAAACACAAAAATATGTAATAATGCCAGAACTGTCTTATTAAAACTTTCTCACAAATCTGACAATTCAAAATAGAAATCCGCTATTTCCTCTCAACAGGGAGATTACAATTGCACCAATAGCCGCAAAGAACCAACCAAAATCCGGACTTTTATGCAAATTAATCTTTTTTAATAGCTGTTTACCTTTGATCATGTTGACTTTTAACACCTTGCAAGAAAAGAATGCCGTTAAAAAAAAAAAATTTACTTCTTGTTTTTACAAAATATTGTAATGTAATGTTACACATGTTCACTATAAAAATGGAGTTTGTCAAATTGTAAGGATATCAAATGTATTTACAAGAGAAAATCTCAATAGAAACTGGTCGGAGGAAGAATATGAGACCTTTTTAATCCATAAAATAGCAAGCCTGAATCAAGTTTCAAGTAGTTGAGATTCACTGTTTTTCTAGGAATTTTAGCAGTTTCATGAGACGAATCCTCAATGGCAAAATCCATTAGAAACCTAGTAAAAAGAATACCACTTCGAAACTTCTTTCTGCACCATTGGCCAGTTTACACAATAGTTGCATGATTATTATTTTGTGTGAAAGCATCTAGTTAGATTTCCTTGAACAATATGGTAACTCAAACTTTTTTGTAACCCCCTTGGAATATGAATTAAAGATTTTATTTCTAGTCTACATGAATTAGATTTATAACATCTAGAAAAGAAGTCGAAGGTGAATTACTAGCAAATGTATTAGCATGTGATCTAGTTTAGAACCAGTTAAAATAATGTACATTGATTGCTGGAAGCTTCAACATGATCACATTTCTAATTTTCTTTTGAAATTTCAACATCTAAAACACTGATGGTGAAATGTTTTCTAATGGCATTTTTACTTACAAAGATATTACACAGCAATCTTTTTACCAGTCTTCCACTCAACACCTTATCAATAACTTCTTTCATGTATGAAAAATCCACTAAATTATGAGTATAGTTTTTGAATTTAATCTATTCCATTGAAAGTAAAACAATAAGCACATTCTAATTAAACTCAAGGTTCATCAAAAGTTTTGGGAAAGAACAACTATTGAAGTACAGAATATAAAATCTGCACTATTTCTTCCACTACACCCCTATTTTCCTGTTCTTGCAATAAATGAAGACAAATTACATTAGGTCTTAGGCCAGTTCAAGAGCTTGAATACTACTGAAAAAAAAAAAGAGGAAAGGATTGAGGTTTATTAAATATATGCTTGTCTATTGCAAGATACCTTCTGTGTATTTATAAACACTGTAACAACTCAAAACATTTGAGTTATAGTCATATAAACTAATAAAAGCAAGATGAAAAATTATAAGTCTGGACTTAATTTTTGGTAAGATCATGTGTATCCAAACAAGCTACAATCTCCCTTAATAGGCAACTATCATGGTAAATTTGCCCACAAACATGCATCTATACTCACAATACTGTTTCCATAGATCTCTCAACACATCTACAATATCTATCATATCCAAATCATGCGGTTACAAGCAGGCAAAAATCTCAAAAAAACATTTAGAAGAACTGACAAATACAAATGACTGAAATCAAGAGCCCTTCTCATGTAAGGCAATCCAGTGAGTGACAGCCCAAATCAAACTAGGGATAAATAAAACAAAACATTATGTACACTTGAGGACTGCAATAGGGGTTTACTTTCAGTCATATTCTCAGAGAGTGTCACCACTTTCAGGTCCACAGTTCATATACAGAACTAAATGGAAGGGATTTCAACGCATCCTATACACATTTAGCTCATGGACTTCTCCCAATTCGCCTTTGAAGTCTAATTCTACTGTAAAGTCAAGATCGCGGTTATTACGAGCATTGGGCTTCATGGAAAAAACACCATAGATTTCCTCATTTTTCTTCACTGTCAGATAGTCATCGAAATAGAAGACAGTCTGTTTCCAATGTGTGTAAGGAGCTTCAGGTGCAGTGCTGAACCCAATTCGTTTGTGGCATTTAGTGAATTCAATGTTGAAGAATGTCACTAAAGCCTGAATGTAGTCATTGCGGCGCACTTGAAGATGGAATGGAGCAGTGAAGTTCAAATCATCTTTTGTAACCGTGTACAAATCTACTTCCTTTAGAAGGCAAGCATTGGTGACCACCTAAAATATATATATATATACACACACACATCAATCATGTCAAATGATTATTCAACAATGAAATATGTACATTTGACAATATTGCCTAGTTACACAATTTGTAAATCACAAACTTACCTGTTTTGGATCAACAACATCAACTAATGGCTCACTGATTGCCACTTTTCGAATTGAACTCATATCAAAACCATAGACATCATCCCACCAATTTATCTTTTCATCCTTATACTGGCGATCTTCAATGCCTGTCACAAAGAGAGTAGCTCTGTCTGGGAACAAAAGCCCATCACTCTTCAGCCATTTATCTCTAGCAAAAAGGACTGTATCCAACATAGATTCATAGAAGAGACAGTATCCCATCCACTCTGATATTATTATGTCCACTTTTTCAATGCCATGTGGTAACTCAACTTCTTCAACTTTGCCTTTTACAATTGTAACAATATCACTAAGCTGATTGGCTTCAACAATTTGCTTTGCATACTCAACTATATTCGAACATTCAATGCCTATTACTCTACTGGCACCAGCTTTGGCAGCAAACATTGATAATATTCCCGTTCCACATCCAATATCAAGAACAGTTTTTCCCTATTCAAAAAAAACTCGCATTAACACAATAAAATGTTTATAAAATTGTTCCAATGGCAAAATGGAAAACCGTACATACCTTGAATAAATGTTTATTATGATACATAGAATTCCGATAAGTGAGCGTTCGTACTTCGTCCTTAAGCATTTCTTCATGAATGCCGAAGTGCGCATACGAATCGAAATAATAGTCTCGAGAAGTCATATCGTCAACGTGAATTTCCTTTTCAATTTTATCGTTCATGATTTCTTTCACGTTGTTAACAGATTCCGTAGACACTTCCATGGTTTCCATTTTCTTTTGCTGCAAATTCACAAAAATTACATCAGTACTTCTTGAGATTCATTATTATAACTATTAGAAGTGGATCTACACTCAAAATTAATGCATACTACTAAAATACTAAATATACACCACTACAACGCTAAACGTGCTCAACAATCTTATCTCGTCAAACAAACGTTTCCCGCCCGCACCACGTGCACAATAGACCGCTTCAGGAACAGCCAGTACAGATCAATACCTAACCAATCCGTTCCTTTCTTTTCTCGGGAATCCAAACGTTTCTCGTAGATAGAGCAGAACAACAAAACTGTTTAATTACTCCAAAATACACATTCAGTTACAATACTGTGGCGATTCATCAAGCATTAACCGGAGCGCTGAACACAAAGCGAACAAACTTCGAACCAACACTCAAGCAACGCTAGGTACTTACATATACGCTCCACAACAGAAAATGAGACCACCGGTAAAGAGAATTTACACGCAACGTGATTTCAAAACGATTTGCACTAACAACGCGTGACCGAAATGTAAAAACTAACAAACAGGAAAATATAACATATAGTAGTGGGTAAAAGAAACAGCATGTTTACCTCCGGTTCGTGATTCTCAACACCTCTCACAACACTGGTCGCCATATTACCGTTCCGGTCTAAAGTTGCAAGACAAGTTAACAGGTTCGTATTTGTAATGTTTTCTAAGAGATGAATTATGTAACTATTAATATAGATTAAAAATTGATGGCAAATTTTGAATTTCACATCATTAAAAATGTTATATCTTTTAAGATCGAATGCGAAGTCGAAACTTTAGCTTTTCATGCAAATCACGTGACTTTTAGCCAATGGGCAGGGAAGCTTCCATGACAAGTTGCTTTTTTCTTTTTTCTTTTTTTTTTTTGTAGACAGTCTGGGTAGCTAGGCTCGCGGAGCTTGTAGATGGCTGCGAAGGAGATTTGGCTGTGTTGTTTATATGGTTGTCAGTCGATGTTTTTTCAAATATAAAGAATTGATATTTAAAGAAAATTCTTTTAGGGACGAGGAAATGCGGGTGAGTGAACGTTTCATTTGACGATTAAAGGAGGTTAATGTGTGTTTTTCGAAGGTTAGACTTTTGTTGATCTGTGGACAGTGTTATGGAAGAGGCCTACTTTTAATGTCACGATATATATGAATCTATAAACATTATGGTTTTTTACAATGCAGTCTTTATTTTCGGATTTCCATTTATTTGTTATCGATAAATGACTTTTATTTTCATAACTGATATATTGCCCGTTAATTTCTCTACTGACAATGAGAAAGAAATGGCCAGCTTTACGAAAGGCGTCACACGGGTTCACTTTCATTTCATTATTTTGTATCTTAATTCCGTTCTCAAAGTGGTTTCGTTGTTTCAGAATATCCATTAATAGTTAGTCTTCAATATTTCCTGTACTTACGGAATCAACATGTTACGGTTTTCTTGCCCGTGTACTAGTACGTGAAGTGGCATCGCGTCTGCTTGTTTTAGAATGAAATTCATTGTAGTTATAATAGTCGTGTTTTTCGATGGACAGCCTGAAAGAGTAGTCTTGTATTTGGTATGATTTTTCATCAATTCAGGAATATTCGTATCGCATATTTCGTTAAATTTTGTCAACAAGTGTTTTGTAATTCATTTGAGATTGATAATAGAAAAGTTTATGTGCATGTAGAAATGTGTAACATATTTGAATGGTTTTGTACTGGACAGTGGCGAAGATCCAAATGCGCTTAAAACACTGATGAGTCTATCTTTGTTCATTGGATTTGTGAGCATTACAAGTTTTCTTTTTTTACAGGGTCAACACCTGCCTGATGTAACTACTTAATGAAACAGTGGGCCAGAAGGCAGGAAAGAATGGTATGTGTCCTTTTGTTTCTATTGCTTGTGTTTTTGTATATTCAATTAAAAAATGTCTATATCTAAATCTTTTCTAGGGTGACGATCCTCCATTCCTTACTGTTGGCACAGAAGTCAGTGCAAAGTATAAGGGGGCATTTTGTGAAGCAAAAGTGCGGAAAGTTGTCAGAAGTGTAAAATGCAAGGTAAAATTTTAAGTGATGGAAACTATTTAGTTCATTGAAGTTATTTTCATAATTACATGAAGCAGTGGGCATCAACAGTAAAAAAAATTGTTTACACCTGTAATTTCTTTGAGTATTGACCCTTATGAAGCTTATGAAGAAACAAAAGTTCATTGCATGTGTTTGGTACTACATTAATTTCAATGACATTTCATACAACTTGCTTGAGATTTAATTTGTTAGAATTCCACTAAATGTGCATTTAGTTTCTTTAAGATATGCAGACATGATTTGTATTAATGTGTGTTCATTAAAACTAGTTTACATGTTCAGATATAACTTTGAAGCATGAAAATTGTAACATTAGTGCCTGTAACTTTGTAAATTGTAACTTTTTCAGGCCCATCTGAACTTGCTTTGAAACGAGTCATGATGTTTAAGGATTAAAATAGTTGTATGAGAAGATTAGATCAATTAAGTACTTTTAAATTGTAGCAGTAGTTTTTTTGTCTGTATAATTAAAGTGTATATTTTGTAGCCCTTTGAAGTTTCTTGCAACAAAGTTATAACATGCAGAGAAGTGCGTCAAAATGCTTGTAATGAAACTGGAAATAATGTTATTGCAATATATATATATATATATATATATATATATATAAATTGGCAAAACTAACAATGTGGGAAGTGTCTCGAATGTCGAAGACTTTCGATTTGAATGTGTTCAGGTGAGGGACTTCTCTTTTTTCAGGAGCCATAATAAAATTTACCCAGCATGAAACAATGCATGTTACGTAGTAATGTTCTTTCGACGCCACATTTTTTAATGCAATCGTGATAGTTCTGAGATCGCGCAGATGGGCAGGGTTCCTACTCGAGGGCGGAAGGGCTTAGGGTACGGGTATCCGTAGTGGAGAGCTGCAGCTACGCCGTGATGTCGCACCTCGCCGCCGCGATCGATCCGAGCGGGTTCGCGGGCGGTGGCGCTAGCGAGTTCGCGCGGCGCGTTGACCAAGGTCGTTGAAGCGCCGCGCGCACGTAGGAACCTGCATCCGCACGCTGTGTTTCTGTTGTACAGGTGACCTTCAAGCTCGGCCTTGGAACCATCAGCATAACGGACGACCAGATCCGGGGTGGCACGTTGCGGGTGAGTTGGTCTCCCGCAAAGAACGTCAGTGAGGGTGGCGCAGGAGGTTGATGCTGGTCGTTTGACAGGTGGAAGAAACCACCGTTTGTAAATTCAGATCGAAGGAAATTATTTTTTTCCGCAATGAACCATGGATGTATTGACATGAACACCATTTGTTTTGCCAGAAATTTTGATGAAATTAATTTCTTATATTTATTTTATTATTCATTATGAAGTTTTCAATTACTAGTAACTTTAATTTATTCAGGGGAAGATCATGTGATTAAAAAAAGCTGCTTCTTTCTGTTCATTACAATGATATGCAGCGAGTTGGGTATTACAGTTTTACATGTGTTCTTTTTCTTAATCTCGGTAATTAATTGCAAAAGAATTTCACAAGTTTAGGTCAAAAGAAGGGGGGGAAAAGTGATTATACTGCCAACATTTTGGCTTTTATTAAGTCTTTATCAGGGCCATAATTGGTTTTTCTTATTAACTAAGCACTATTAATTTTACAATCTTGTAATAAGCTATATCAAAATTTTGCATACTTTTTAGATTAAACCATTTTACTTCAGATTTATATCCCTTGTACATATCAATTTCTTGCTCTCACTCCTATCCGTACAATACATATCTACCAACATGTTCCTCCCACACATTGTGACATCATGTACTTCATGTAACTTGTGTCCTTTGATATAACACTGCCACCTTTATACAAGACTCACCTTATCACTAACCTGTTCTCTCCCACAAACGTGTGAGCTACATCATTTCATTTATTTTTATTTAATTTTTTTTTTTTTTCTGATAAAAAAACTGGTATGCTATTGAATTCTACCCCTCAAACATTTTTTTTATTGTTAATGTTGCCAAAGAAAACCAAAAATAGAAATTAAGACTAGCCTCATGCTATATGCACAATGTAACAATCTTATTGATACCTGCGTAGTTGGATATTTGGTTAGTAACTATTTAAACTATGCAAGTCGACTTACACTAACACCCGACCAACTTTTCAAAAATATCTATCAACAAATAGTTATGCATTGATTTATGTACACTTTTTTCCAAAAATTCAACAATCAAAATTATAATAATTAGATTGGAGAATAGATTGTGAAAATTGGCAGAACATTAACTCTCTCAGTAATATTAGGAAATTTTTCTAGAATAAACAATTGTAGTGTCTTCAGATGTGAAACTAACAAACAAATTTGTTTAATTTATTCTGCTATTAAGCTGCAGTTATGTCAACTATGAAACTTTTGAATATGAAGATTTTTAAGTGCCATGTTTTTTTTCTTTTTCTAATAGGTGGGTTCTGTGTGTGAAGTAAAGCATCCTGAAAAAAAAGAATTTGTTGAAGCAATCATCAATAAGATCCAAGATTGCAGTCAGTATACTGTAGGTGAGTAAGAATTCCTGCAAGCTGCTGCACATTTAGTCAGTAGACGCAAACAAAACATTCAACAAACCACTGCATGGGAAAGTACGGGGGGAAAAAAACACCATATTATTATTATTATTAAAGTGCTGGTACATGAGTGAAGGTGACTGGACGAGTTAGGCTCCTAGCCAAACTTTACCGTTGTCTCTGTAGCGACTCATGACTAGAAGGCCCTAGGGATCGAGTCCTGACAGTGGTGAATTTCCAACACTAGCCAGTTAGCTAGTTCAAATTCAGCCATTGTTGGGAAGAGAATTCTAGCAGCTGGCTGCTCTGATAGATAATTTTGTGATTTCTCCAGTCAATATCAGGTGAATGCCAAAACATCACCCTAAATAATGGGCCATTTATGATCTTACCTTCCTCTTCTTTGTCAATCTTCTCCCTTACGTATACATATACACACACTTGCATGCATTACACTACCACATGTTGGAAGACTAGCCAGGAGTTCAGAGCTTCTGCCTGGATTAGTGCCCCCAATGCGGTAAGCTGACATTTAGTTACTTAGCCCAGTATCTCACCAGCAGACGGGGAGGACTGCTGCCTCCAGGTACAAAAAAAACATTCACTGCACTAACAACCATTGCAGTTAGTGAATTTGGACACATGATCAATCTTTCTAAACAAAAATTGTTAGTGTTGTAAGTATAAGGATGCGAGTGTCTGTTTCACATTTTGGAGCTTGCAGATATGTCCCTCCTAGCCAGAAACTTAATAATCCAGGTGTAGCCACTGTGTTACTTAACTGTGTTATCCATTGCACCAATGCGCCTTGTGAGCTCCTATCCATACATTGTATGTAATTTTGATAAGTGTAGATCTTGAGACCATCATACTTAGTTCTCTATTGGAGAGAGGAAACTAGCCAGGTTATACCTGTTGTACTTATGCTGCAGTTCATTGCTCTTATATTGTTTACCTGGTCTTATCCTCTGCTTGAACAACTTACCAGGGAAGGGATTAAGAACAGAATTTTAGGTTCAAGGGTGGTACCTGGTATTTTTGGAATGCACAACACGCCTTAAGTGGCATTTGAACCCACATTCCCTCATGTACCCCATATTAGAATGTAAATGTTCCGAGCCCCTGTTCTATGCAGGACAACAGTGAAATGAAATAGGCCATCAATTTTTGTTGTAAATTAATACAATAAAAAATATAGAGTAAAATTGTTTCTTAATTCAATAAGGTAAGGGAACTTAGCTTCTTTAAGCTCCACAGAATTTTTAAGCCCTACCTAAAATAATATTTTTTCTTTAGTGTTTGATGATGGCGACATTACCACACTACGGCGTACTGCATTGTGTCTCAAAAGTGGTAGACATTTTGCTGAAAGTGAGACACTGGATCAATTGCCACTCACCCATCCAGAACACTTCAGTAATCCAGTGATCGGTGGCAGGAAGGGTCGTCGAAGCAGACAGGCACAGTAAGTAAAAGGACTCTCTTAATAATATGAAATTTCTTTTAAAAACTAGTTTCACATTTTGTTAAATTCATTACTTTGAAAGTATTCATAGTCAGTAATTTTGTATTATCAAAACTTTCTCAAGAACTCAAAGCCAAGTTATTATTGGAGAAGTAAACTTGATAAGAGATGGGTTGTATCATGTTGAATTAATGAGAAAATAGATTTCTTAATAGAATTTATGAATAACTTAAAGCAGGTGACAAATGAGATGGTAGAAAAACTTTGTATCTAATCATCTAGGTCATAGGTTGGAAACAAATGGATGTATGCAAAGTACTGTGTGTTAAGAAAATCGTTACCTACAGAAAATCTATTGTGAATAATGTATCGTTCTTTTAATCAGCAGGAAGTATTAACATATGATTGATAACATCAGTCTGCATCACTTTTTATGTCTGTAATGTTTTGTTTCTTTTAGTGTTTTTCACACTGATTTCGAATCTGCAATTGGTATTTTCGCATCAGGTCCAGTTCTTTCTCCACTAGCCAATATGTTTTTGACATTTGTGAGCTCTTATTTGTATAATACTATATGCTAATATGTTATATCTTATTTTTTTAGATAGATTATTATAATTACTCAAGTGTAGTAGATATTGAAGAAAACTAAATTTCATCATTTAATCATGAATAGAAAATGCAAGAATGACCCAAATATGTGTTGTTACATATGTGGTAAAGTGACGTTTCCAGGGCAAAGATCAAATGTTAATAGTACAGCATTCCGAAAGGCCATTACCCTTGTTTCGACATGAAATTGAGACACCTTTGCTTCCTAGCGATGGTGTCGAACATGTTATATAGGTTTAGACAATGGAACAATGCAAATTAATATATTGCTATTTTAACCCCACAATACTATAAGGTAATTAATTTAGAGAGTCTTTATTTTATATTTCAGACATAGAGGTCAAGATCATTGGGGCAACAATATGGCTGACTTTTGTTAATGTTTGAAAAGAGATGAACCTAAAGCCATACATTAATGAAAGGCATTTCTATAAAATCGTCTTTTGTGAAAAAATAATGCTTTGAAATATAATGAAGAAAAGCTGAAATAGCTACATTTATTTCATTCACATTTATTACTCATGAGGGATATGTACACAAAGGAGGAGGGTATCTATTTTTTTCCCCAATGCTTATGTTTTTTTTAATATAATTTTCTATTGACAGAGGTTGCACTGGAACTATGTTGTGTTTAATTCACTTAATAGTTACCTTCATATAATCTCATATTGTTTTCACATCTTTTATCAAGTTACTGACCCTGTATAAACAGAAAATATCCTAATGGTAAAAACAGTATGTATAGTAGTCATAGTATCCATAGCACAAAACTAGACATAATTGAAGAAAAACTAATATTGTTTTAGAGTTCAACGTGGTTAATTCATATAAAATAAAGCTGAAAAATTTAAACATCATTAACTTTCGTTTTATACGCAGACCATTGTAATGCTGAAATTTTAAAGAAACATCATGCTTCTTTTTGAGTATTTTTACCGTTTCGTCCTCGCTTCATAAGAGTTTCGAAAAGCCCTACTAATTTTCGACGATTGTGCAATCTGATTCCATATTGGTCGGATCTTGATATCGAAATGTCAATTGACAACAAAATGTCAGTCTGTCTGTGGTCAACACTAGTGCATAAACCATTTGAATACTAGTTCTATGGGTTGACCAGACGATGTTTGTGACGATGCACGTGTTTGTGACGATGCACGACCAGTGTTTATTATAACATAGACAATTTTTATTAAAAAGCTCAAACTGATTGTTTATGATGCATTTTCAACAAACTAGCGCAATAAATTTTTGAAACGGACCCCAACTAGGGTCAAAACATAAAAACAGAAATAAATTGTTTAAATAAAATATATTAATATCTGTTTTATTAAGGTAAGAAAGCCATTATGATAAAAGAAATAAAATAACAGATGTGATTATATTCCTTAAACTAAAAAAATCTGCTGTTTAAAAATAGTGTTGTGCAGTTTTGTGTAAACAACTAGTTTTTGCAAAAATTATTGCTGTTTGAAAAGTATTGCTCTATTAGTTTCTTCATGTGCACACATCGTTAAGTAAAATGTGTTGACTTGGTCGTTGAGTAATTGGGACAACACACCAGTTATTGATAAATGTACAGTCTGAAGATATTACTGGATTGATACTTTAAAAAACTTCAAAACTAAAATTACAAAATTCTTTTGAAAGAAGACAATAAAATACATTCATAGCGTCCTGAAAATTGTAAATGTGCATACGTTTCATGCATCAAAGGAGAAAGACAAAACAATCAGAAACTACATGTGTATTATTAGAATGTTAGAGGCTGGAGGACTAAACATGATAAGTTCATGGTTTAGTCTTTCATTTGTGAATGTGATGTACTATGTATTACCGAGTCCTGGTTGCACTCGTCCATTATGGATGTTGAAATTGTTGACGATATGCAATTACAGGGAAGACAGATTCTGCAACTAGTAACTGTGAGCATGGCGGTGGGGTTTTGTATTGCAGTCAAGTGTAAAATAATGTCCGTATTAATCACAATTGAAGAGGACCACCTTCAGCAATTTTTTGTAAAAATTAAAGGATATAACTTTGACATCATACATTCCTCCACAATCTCACCTTGATATTATTATGGACATTTGATAACCATCTCCAATATTAAAGAGAAAAATCCCAACTGCAAATTGATGATATTTGGTGACTGCAGTATTAACAGTAGTCTACCACAATTGGAAAGTGAATCCTTCCTGAACAAGATATTTCTGTTGTTGTAATACTTAGTTGAATGATTGTTACAATAACCAATGTTGGTTACTGGACCTTTGTTTGTGACTTGGATGCTCATGTTGATGAAATACCTGCTATTGTGAAGGAAAATATATTTCATCCTGTATGATCTGTTAAGCTGGAGTTCAGAGTGACCCTAAGCTAAACAATGTACCCCACATATGTATTCAGGAATGCAGATTGTGTCATTGAATAACTACTTTCTGAGTTACTTGGATAGATTTATAAGTTGGTCAGTATAAATGATAAAGTGAAATGGTTCAACAATGTGATCTATTGGGCCACAAATCAATTTGTTTCAATAAATGATGGAAGAAAAACAGATTTTCCGAGTTGGTTTTCCAAGAAATTGATACAATTGACAATACAGAAGAAAATTGCTCTTAAAAATTTCAAAAGAAGAAAAAGTCATGATAATTAGATCACTTTCAGAACACTTAGATCAGTATAAACAGTTAAGTAAAAACTGCTACAAAAAATATTTTGAAACTAGTGGTACTACATAATGGCTCAGACTTTTGCGTATTAATTTTCTATTTCAATTGGCTAGCTATTCGAACACTTCACATACTCTTACCAGCTGTCATCTAACCCCGCCCAAAGTTCAATATACTTAAATTTCAGCTTTCTGATAGTAGAACAGAAGTAGTATTTTAAGAATATTAAAGAACAGTAGAATCAAGCCGTAAATGACAACTTTCATTGAAACATTTGGATCGGTTTTAAAGAAAATGGCATTTAAACACCACCGTAAATTCAAACAAAAACTATTGAGTTTTTGAATAGACTTAATATGATGTCATTGCTCCAGCCACAAATGCAATAGTGTTTACTAATCGCTAGAAAAGTGCATATTAATGGCGTGAGAGATTTTTCAAAAACTGTACAATGGTGTAATTTTTGAAAAAACAAATAGAGCCAAATTAATTCTGTTATCTTAAACACACCATCTTTTGGAAAAGTTGGAGAGAAAAAATTGAGTGATTTTTGAGAAAATGGCGATTGGGCCTTTCTGAAAATGCATAATTTGAACTCATTGTTACGGAAAATTGTTAAGTGTTCAGTAAACTTTATCTGACATTATTTAAATCACAAGTACTCATAAATATGTTAATGTAAAGAAATTGCCACAAATTCAAATATTAATGACCTGAGAGACAAGGCAAAAAAATTACATTATTGCAATTTTTGGAAAAACAACAAAAGAAAAGAGCAATATGGCATTTATGTGCTCTTGTAGAGTGCATTTAGCACTCTTGCTACCCAAAGTTTAATAAAAAAATTTTGAGCGGTTTTTGAGAAATTCTTTGTAATTTTTTACAATTGTACAAATTGCATGAAAACTGCTGAACTTTTCAAAGAAATGTAATGATCTTAATAAAATTAATTCACAAAATTTTATTTGAAAAACCTCTATCTTCAATTTTATAGTTTGAAGGCACGGGGGAAAATTCCAAGTTTTACAATTTTCAAAAATTTAGAGTTAACTGTGAAAATAGGACCTGTGTCACCTTTGTAAGTGTATTGTACTTTATTATTACAAGAAGTTTAAAGAAAAAAATTGGAGCTGTTTTTGAGATAATTTTGAAAATGTACCAAGGGCTTCATGTAAAGTACCTCCAAATTGTGAAGAATGTTTTTAAAAGTCTCAAAGTTTAGACTCGAGCCAGATGGACAGGGGTGTCTTCAATTTAAAAAAATCCTATGTATGGTTTAGACTCAAGTTCACAGACAGGCGGAGGTATGGACATGTTGAAGAAAAATCACTTTTTGGGTATCAGGACCCCAAAATCTTGTATTTCCGTGAAAATTTCGAAATCAATTTTCTGCAGCATGACATAACTTAGCTTATACTATATATATTACTGTGTATATACTGGGTCTTTATCTTAACTCGAAACCCATGTCTGGAAACACCACCTCTTGTTTTGGCAATTTGGTAACGTATGAAGTACATTTGGCATCCCTTTCACTTTTAGCATCCCACGGCCGCATGCCCTCAGATTTCGGGCTGAGAGAATGTGGCTAATTTTAGTTGGAAGAAAGAGAAAGTACTTATTCTGTCCTTGTTACTCTTTAATGTATTGCAATCACTGGATTAGAAAAAGTAAATACCTCTCTCTTGGCAAATGGTGGTCACTTTGAACATTTAC